ATTGTTTGTTTTTTTTGTTTGTTGTTGTTTTCTACTGTTGTGTTTGTGTTTTGTTTTTTTTTTTTTTTTGTTGTGGGGGGGGGGGGGGGGGGGGGAAGAAATGATCTCTGCAGATTCAATGTAGTGTAATGTCTAAGACAATGTATGAAAACTTTAGATACGTCAGAAAAACTAAAATGTGATTGTTGTGTAGAGGTGAATTGACATTGACATTACACATGCAGCAAAGGGGTTTTTGAATCTACTGGTGCCTCTGGAGTCGTGCAAACCTCATAGGTGTAGGATCCTCCAGAGGGTTGCAATTGTGTGCAACTCTATATTCAGCCATGCCTAACCAGCGCTTTCAAGCTGAAATGGTTGCAGTGGGACCAGCTTTACAAGAAGACACTTTCACACAGGCTTGTTTAATGGTGAGTGCTGTGCAACCCTAGATGGATCTGGATGGATGGAGTAGTGGAAGGTTGGACAGCCACCAAGGCTGCGACATCAGCAATGCGGTAGAGTCCTGTTGTGGGCTATAATCATGAGAGCTGGTTGGCACATTTAGGGTCCCTAAAAGGTGTAAATATTAAGTATATGGTTTCTGACTGACTACTTTCTTTCATGGCACTAAAAGAACCATGCCTTCTGTAGCAAAATCATCTTCATGCATGATGATGCACCATCTCACGGTGCAAAGAATACCTCTGACATTGGCTGCTATGGGCGTAAAAGTCCTCCATCCTCCCCTGACCTCAACACTACTGAGAACCTTTGGAGCATCCTGCAAAAGATCTGAGGGTGGGAGGCAATTTACATCAAAACAGCGGTTCCGGGACGATAATCTGACATCCTTCAAAGAAATTCAAGCAGAAACTCTCCAAAAAACACAACTCCAATAAATGCTAGAATTGTGAATGTGACATCAAAGAAGGGGTCCCATGTTAACATTTAAATTGGCTTGTAAAGATGTTTTTTGATTAAAATAGATTTTAATTTCAGTAAATGTGACCACCTCATGCTGCAAATTCAACAAATTACCATTTCAATTATTTACGATCTATAAACTCTGCTGTGCATAATAATTAATTTGGAACTGTGCATTTTAAGTTTATATATGTGTATGTATGTATGCAGGCTTGTTCAGTAAACTTGGATTTATGCTCTAACAGTTGATGACCTGAAAATTATTATACGGACTTGTCATTTTCATCAACCATTTAAAAAATTCAGCAAAAATAATGTCCATCATAATTTGTAACACGGCACACCATTTTTTTTTCAACAGCAAATAGATGCTTGACTCTTTTTACAGTCTCTCATTCCCTCCATCGGTCCTTATAATTTCACAGGAACTAAATTGTAAAACCAAATGGGCAATACAATCTACAAATGTGTTTGATATCACAGTTTTTTGTTTTTAAATTGGCCAAAAATGTTTTTTTGAAGTACAGTGTATTTCAGCGGTCCTGTGCAGGCCTCAGAAGTTTGTTACACAACACTGGTGATCACAGCATCATAAAGACCAAGGAACACATTACTGTTTGAAGACTGTGCACGGCACTGGTCTCAATAGTTACAAAAAGTATACTTTATGAGGGGTGCACAATAAAGAAAAGAAAACAAAAAAGTATCAATACACTATTTTAGAAAATGCAACATTCAAGAAAATATTTCAAAAACGTTTTTTCCCTGTAATGTTATAGTTTGTATTTTTGGTGTTTTTTTTATTGCTTTTAATATAACTTATGGTGCAAAAAAAACATGTGCAAAAGCGAAAAATAAGCACATTAAACCACACAACATGAAAGAAGTGCATTGCAATCAAAGCCCGACAAAAATAGTACTGTATTGCGAAAGCACGGATTTTTTCCAATATGTCCCTTACGGAGCTCCGTACCCTGCAAACACGAAGACTAAAGAGAGGAAAAGAGCCGGTGAAAGTTTTTTTTTTTTACGTCAAACTCGATGTTCTGTCTTCTATATAAAGACGAAAAGCTTCAAACTGAAGCTGAAGGTCCAGACAGTGTTTAACAGTTTAACACAAGCGAGAAACATCAAAACGACACATTTCCGAAGCAGTTCCTCTTCTGTTCTCAACGGTTCTTTCACGAACGTTAGCCGCACAGCTCATGTCGCGAGCGTCTTATTTTTAGCCTTTCGAGCTAACGGCGCCGGGGCCTCATATCTGTTGGGAGCTCACCTGGCCGAGGGTTTCCGGGCTCTCACCTGGTGTGGAGGCTCTGTGCGTCTTCGGCTCTGTCCTGGTCGACTGGCTGAGTGAGTGTCGGGTCAGGAGTTCCTCTCTGGCTCCTCCTGTGGACCCAGTTTCAGCTTGGAGTCGAACCGCTCGGATTTAACAGTGAATAAAACGTAACGGCTGACAGGACATTTATTTTAGAAAAGGTTAACATCAAAGTACGGAACGCCTTTTAATAATATAAATTATTTTAAAGTGATAAACGCCTCTTTGGACGTTATGCGCAAATATTGTTATGGCCAAAAGTTTTAAAGGAGGTCAAATAATGTGTGGCCCTCAACGTATGTTTTGTGTTTGATCCTCATCTACGACACTAAATTTTAAATTAATATTTGTTAAAGTGGCTGAGTTTTAGCCACTTTTGCTGTGGCTTTAGCCAATTTGATCTGGAAGCAATCTTAAATTTGTACTAAAAGTTAATGAGTTTTCAACACAAGCTACAACTTAATTAAATTTTACTTAATTTTTTTAGTAACCAAACTTGGCTTAATTTTCCATTGATACAATTACATTACAAACTCTTTGATGATTTAACTAACCAAAATTCAATAACAATCAATGTACTGCTGGTTTGGAAAATATATCAAAATAAAAATATACCAACTTAAAAAATATATAAAAATCTAAAATTAACTGAAGAAGAAACCCAAAAGCAAGACTTCATTTGCTTAATTCATCGTCACGATAAATTACTTTTCATCCTCAAAATAAAGCACAATACAGCCATTTTCACATATATTTATTATTTCCTCTTTGAAATCTGCCAGAACAACAAACAAAACTGTGTGCAAATTATGTAAACATTTATGTGCAGGGCTTTACAACAACGTTGCAGTAAAAACTAATGTGCATCCGTTGCATTTTAGTCACTTCTGTATCTTTAAATCTCAGTCTGGACACTAGAAACGTCCAACTGTTCAGTGCAAACACGAGGTCTTTGGTGAGCGACACTGCAAACTCTCCCGGGCTGAAATGTAAGAGTTGTAGAAGTTACAGTTTGGAGGCTAACGTGTCGTTATTCTTGTCCAATTAACTTATGTGGTGCAGACTGTCAGAAAAAAGTACATTAAGAGCACAAGACAGACCCACCTGCCTACAGAACACTGTAATAATGAATAATAATAATAATAAACTATAACATTCAATAGCTGAGCCATGTTTTCTGGCATAAACATTGTGCACAACAGTTTCCAGTAAACTGAGATTAAATGTGTCGTAACATTTATTACAATCACTAACTGAAGTCTGGGCTTTAGGCACACAATGATAACACAACACAGAGTTGAACAAATACTGTAACAGTAAACTAGACAATCTAATGGATTGATTGTGAATAAACTGTCAAAACAAACCTGAACTAACGCATATTTTCTCCGTGAATGGGTGCACAGGAACTGTTCGGAGGTCAGTGGTGATGCGGGTTTTCTGATTTGGGCTGACGGATCGAACACTTCAGCTGTTCCCCATCATCTTCAAAAGAAGCTAGAGAGAAAAAATAAATCAGAATGGTGTTACACGAAATAATCCTAAACTCAAACCTTCAGGACTGCAGGGACTGTTCAGATTGTATCTGAAAGTATTGATTCTTTTTTTTTTTTAACGACACTTTTAGCACAGCAAGGCTCAGTGGTTTGAATTTCTTTATGTAAATCACCAACGGATCACTGATGACACGATGACATTGATGACTCCATACTTCTTGCCTTGGCTGGAGGGACTAACCTCTTCACCAATATGAAAAATATTCCAAGTATTTAATCAGTTTATTGTTATAAAATCAGTACTTTGTGGTTTAAGAAAAGGGATCCCAAAAACATGTACAAAAATATCATTTTAAAGATAAAGTGTCTTTTAAAATCCTAGTATTTAAGGGAATGCACATCACCCGCTGCATTCATGCCAGAGTTTTAGACTAAAATCATTTTTGCATTTAAACTATTGCAAACTCCTGAGCGATCCGTTAGCACTCAGAGTTGTGTTGTGAATGACGCTCAGCTACTACCACACCAGATTCTACTTGAATATCTGACTCAGTCACTTCTTATCTGTACAGTCTTTGGTGTTGGCTACTGTGGATTTTGATGTGACGGCCATCTTGAAACTGACCAACCCCAATAATATTAATTTGCAGATTAGTTTCTGAAAGTCTCATTAAAATCTGTTTCACAAACAAACGAGCACAAACAGTAAAAAAAAACACATTGTTTGACAGAGACGATAAATTTGGTTAAAAAAAAAAAAAAACTACAGAAATGTATTTGATACTTGACCCAAGTTCAGAGGTCATCCAACAAACTGCTTCATTGATTTAATCTTTTGTTTACAATAAAAGTGAAATGTATGAAGGGAATAAAGTCCAATGATGTTAAAATGCAAATGTGCATTAAAGGGCGCTACAATTGTTATATTAAAAGAAAGATTATTGTAAAAACACTAATTTTCTACAAGTACCTTGGTCAGGTGATACTCCTCATCAACCAGCTGTTCAATGACACTAAAGTGATCGGCATTCTCCACATCCTCCAAGGTCACGTTCAGTCCTGCTGCTTCCAAAATCTTCAAACAGAAACAAACATGTAAAAATACATGTTAATGTATGTTCATGTATGTTCATGTATGCTATTTGTGTTAAATGTATGTTACTTATGTTATCCATCCATCCATTATCTTTTAACCACTTCTTCCATTTTGGGTCACGGGGGTCGCCGGTGCCCATGTCCAACAATCACTGTGCGAGGGGCGGGGTACACCCTGGACAGGTCTCCAGTCCATCACAGGGACACATAAAGACAAATGAGACAAACAACCATTCACTCTCTCACTCACACCTAGGGACAATTTAGAGTTACCAATCAGCCTAACATGCATGTTTTAGGTCTGTAAGAGGAAACCGGAGTACCCAGAGAAAACCCACACATGCACGGAGAGAACATGCAAACTCTACCCAGAAAGGTCCCCAGACAGGGATTTGAACCAGCAACCTTCTTGCTGAGAGGCAGCAGCTCTACCAGTGGTGCCGTTACTTATGTTAAATACATGCTAATTTATGTAAAATATATGTTATGTATTTATGTTTAAATGTTTGTTGTTTATTTATTTAATATATTGTATTTATAGTAAATATATGTTGTTTATGTAAAGGTATGCTATTTGTGCTAAATATATGTTATTGATGTTAAATGTAGTTAATTTATTTGATATATTGTATTTATGGTAAATATGTGTTATTTAGGGCAGCACGGTGGCGAAACTGGTAGAGCTGCTGCCTCTCAACGAGCAGGTCCCTGGTTCAAATCCCGGTCTGGAGGCCTTTCTTGGTGGGGTTTGCATGTTTTCTCCGTGCATGTGTGGGTTTTCTCCGGGTGCTCCGGTTTCCTCCCACAGACCAAAAACATGCATGCACTAATTGGTAACTCTAAATTGTCCCTAGGTGTGAGTGAGAGAGTGAATGGTCGTTTGTCTCTATGTGTCCCTGTGATGGACTTGAGACCTGTCCAGGGTGTCCCCCGCCCCTCGCAGTGATTGCTGGACATGGGCACCGGCGACCCCCGTGACCCAAGATGGAAGAAGCGGGTAAAAGATAATGGATGGATGGATGTGTTATTTATGTAAAGGTATGTTATTTGTGTTAAATGTAGTTAATTTATTTGCTATATTGCATTTGCGTTAAATATATGTAATTATGTTACATGTATGTCACTTATTTATTTTAATATCTTGTATTTATGGTAATTTGTAATGAGTAAAATCAGCAGAGTTGTGTTTTGTTGCCAACTATTAACGAGCCTTTTGTTTACATTTGAACAGACGAGGACACTTCAGAGTCAACAAATATTGAGTCAGTAAAATAATAATCTGGATGTACAAAGAGTCATGAAATCAGAGACGCCTGGTCTAAAGAGAGAAGGGAAAGCACTTCAAAACACAGAATTATTATTTTTTACAGCTAATTGACTTTAAATAAAAAAAATACGCAAAACTTGTGAACAGAGGCCAACTACCTTGTGTGTTTAACTACAAGCCTGTAAATAAACCAAACGTTAAATTTACAGCTCATATCCGTTTACACACAGACTAACACGGGTCAGTCGCGTGACTCAAGCTTCCAAATGTTTTTGGAGATTTCAGCTGAGCGCTTTGTTTACAATGAGTGCAGACCCGCATTTCAGAATTATTCAAAATATCAGGAAAACTACTGGAGCTTTCAAACAGCCTTATTTGATAAAATGAGTAATGAGTACCTTTATCTTGTCTCCCTAACATGGGATTATGACTCTTAAACATCTTTGAACACAGTTATAAATTAAAAAAAACATAACTCTGTTTTGATCCCTGATTAGGGGCTTAGTGTTTTTTAAACGCAGCTCCTTGAATAAATTAATCAAAATATTCCTTCAGTTCACTTATAAACAAAATAACTACTGTCAGTTCTGACTTCCAGTGCAGTTTTGTTGCTTTTTAAACACACTTGGACGAAGTAATAAATGTATATACTGTATATATGTGTGTAAAAAGCTTGTAGACAATTTACTGACTAAATGAAGCTAAAATTAGTAAACCCTCCCTCAAAGTAGTGTTTGTTCTGAAGTATTAGTACAGACTTTGTAGTATTCTTGGGACTGCTTGCGAAACTCCGGCGAGTCGTTCTTGGCGACAGCCACAACGATCTGGCAGCCGGAGGAGGAGAGCTTCAGCTGAGGAACCAACCTGCTGGGGCTGTTCCTTATGGCCACCTCCCTGCCAGCAGCAGACAGAGGAGACAGAGGAATGAGGCTCTGACTGGCACCACAAACGATAATTACAGACACAAACAATGACTTCTACATCCACAGTTCCTCACAGTGCTCTAAAAAACACAGAGTGGCATTTAAACAGGCATAATGGCGATAAACGTTCCCCCTGTTGTGGCGACCAGGGTCCTTAAAAGTTCCTACATGTTGTAATTTTAAAAATTCTAAGCTTAAATTAAAATATTTTTAGTAACTTTTATGTTTTTTCTGACATCAAAATGAAAACATTTAGAGTAACTACTTGTACTTGTCAGGCTTTATTATCTGTACGCATAAAATAAAACTTTAGACTACCGTATATGAAACAGGAGATCAGGTAACAACACTTTTTAGGACTTAATACATGCCATTACTGAACTAATAGTAAAAATGAATAGAGTTAAATATATGCATATACTTTAGGAATTCGTTACAATTGCAAGTATATAAAACATACAGAAATCTACAATTAGTGGACAGATATTTAAACTACATAAGGCGCCGTTCTTGGTAAATGAAAAACCAAGAAACGAACAAAAAAACATTAAAATCAACTCAACTAACAGAATAATATTGTGATGACAAGGTCCATTTTTTTAATCTATAATAAATGTGGAAACCATTATCAATAAATTCAAAGTACTGAAATTTTGATCTTTCAGTAATTTCTTTTTAGAAACTCAGATTTGTAATCATCAATGTACAAAGTACTCCACTTTCAGTTCCCATTTAAACACATAGGAAATGTTATATTTTAATGTTTTTACAAGACTGTGTTAGAACCCTGGTCCTTGCAACATGGTGCTTCCATCACAACAAAACTGAGTAATTGATTTCAGCGCAACAGTGAATGTATTAACAAATTTGATCTCTGATGTCTGATTACAATAAAAGGCACCAGAAATGTGGATACAGTTTATGTGATCTGCAGGCAGACCTACTCCGTCATCTTCAGAGGCTCGTTGACGTAGGTGGGCAGGATGGGCAGGAGGTCATAAATGCCACTAACAAGAAAAGCACCTTAGAGAAAATTCAAGAAAATTAAAAAAATAAAACAAATCATTTTCGATATACTAATAGCATCATCCTCTATTCCTCACCTTTGACCTGAGGAGTGACGCTGTACTGGGACCAGTCAGTGGAGAGCACCATTGCAGCCAGGTGAGCTCCAGCAGAGTGGCCACACAGGTAAAGACCTCTGAGAATAAAAATCAGCCAGAAAGAATTTGATCATCCTCTATATGAGTGAAAGAGGAGCACAAGCAGACGATCAGTAAAGAAAGAAAAACAGAAGTGTTACCTGATATGAGAATACTGCTGAACGACGGACACCACACTCCTGCGGACCTGCGACACCATCAGGTCCATGTTACCTTAAAACAGAGCGAAGCGGAAGGCTGACATTTTCAGTTCATCTCCTTAAATCTTTCATCTTCTTACAAGAACAGAAATGAAATGACTCTACCTTTAGGAGCGATGTTGTAACCAACGGCAACCACAACAACGCCCTTCTCAATGAGCGGAACGGCCATGAACCCAGACTCATCCTTACTGAAAACATAAACAATAAGAAGCCTGAGCCAAATCTCTAAATATGCAATAAAATATGAGAAAGTCTGTAAAAAAAATGTACCTGAGAAATTGCCAGTAGCCTCCGTGTATGTAAATAACAAGGTTGACATCTAAACAAAAAGAGATTAGGTTATGGGTGATATGAGATTTAGGATGCTTGGATGACAGCAGTGTCTGTACCCAAAGAGCTGGTCCTGGGGATGTACACATCCAGTTTCTCTCCGTCTCCATCGCCGTACGGGACGTCGAGTAAAGTTTGGGCCAGAGCTCGGGCCCGCTCTGTACCTGGACAGAACAAAGTCTCAAAGCATCACACTGAGATAACTGGTATCTACTGATGACTCATTTTAAAGAAAAAAAAAACATCTTGAAAAATGCTGAACAATCCCCACACACACAGAAAACAACATTTTTCAGAGACCAAACAAGACACTTATGTTATAGAATTCTCAGCCATCATTGGCACTGCTGTGCTTTTTTCCCTTAATTAAAATACATTTAAATTCCTTAAATGTGCTGTTAAAAACACTGGAGTGATAAAATATCCTTTTATGTTAGGCTTTAAAGAGTCAACCTACTAACCAGTGAAATTTATGTCTGCCTAAGCCTGCAATTATAATTTAGAATAAACATTATAAATTAACATTTACATCCATATAAATTACTAGTTAATGACAGAACAGTTCATGTAAGAAGCTTATTAGTAAGTAAATAAGGCGATATATTTCCCATGGGTGTATGGTAAATTTTAAACCAAACAGATCTGACCAAAAAGACACAAAAATGTCGAAAACATTTACTTCTATCTCAAAGTATAAAGTGCTACCATCGGCGATGAGGTAGCGAAACATGTTGCCAACACATTTTTTCTGTAAGAATACTTAAAAATGAATTCATGGATTTTCGGCAGGTGCGCAAGTTAACGGGCGTACATAATATGGCACAACACCGGTGTTCTCGACGCGCAGCTAGCTTAAAACTATTTTACTTTTTTGTTCTGTGTTAAAAATTAGCTTTGCGTTTGAAAACAAACCGACCTTCCTTTACAGCCTTCACGTGGGCCTTGATTACGTCGTCCGCCGCCATCCTGTGGGACCACCTGCTGGGCGAATACTGCTTCTCCAGCTCCTGTTAGACGAAAAAACCTGTGAGCCTCTCCGCCATGACCGCTGACTGTCAACCCGAATAAACTCACGGCGAACAACGCCCTCTGCTGGTCAGATTAAATCACTACATGTGTCACACTGTGAACAGCTCCCTCTGCTGGTCAGATTAAATCACTACATGTGTCACACTGTGAACAGTGCCCTCTACTGGTTAGACTAAATCACTACACGTGTCACACTGTGAACAGCGTCCTCTGCTGGTCAAATTAAATCACTACATGTGTACCACTGTAAACACCGCCATCTACTGGTTAGATTAAATCACTACATGTGTCACACAGTGAACAGCTCTTTCTGCTGGTCAGATTACACAGATCACCACTCTCATAAAGATTCACGTAACAAAAATGTAAATAGTTAAAGTATTGTGCAATTGCTACATTTTAAGCTTTTCACAGTATGTATAAAAAGATAGCAAACAGAAAAAAAAACACTGTCAGAGTAAATAACACTGTGATTAACAACCTGACATGTGTGCAACCTTGTGCAAAAGTGGAACTTGTATATACTTAACTGTACCAGACTTGCTTCAATGTATAAAACAGTACTCTACTGGTCACTAAAAAGGGCCTGACTGAATGAAAATTGGTCAGTGGCTTCAGCAGGTGTGTGGAACACAGCTTCAGTGCTCATAGTGTTTCCTGGTCTTGTGTTTTGACGTGTTCTGTCAGAAGTGGAGTTGTTTGGGTATGGGTAATTTGCTGAGTTTTGGTGGACAGAATGGTGGGCCATTGTGTGCGAATACATCGGACCTCTTGGCTCATATGGCATGTAGTGTGGTGGTTGTGCAGGTGTATGAATGACCTGTTTCAGAAGAGAAAACCCATCAACAATCGATGTGGTAAGTCTTTCCAGTGTATTGGACATTTTTGAATAGTTTTCGGATGCTTTTTGTTCTGATGTCTCAATGATTTCCACCAGTCTCTTTTTCACACGCTGGTCTTCCTCAAGAGCATTCAGCCACTGGGTCTCAGCAGGCAGCTTTCTCCTCAGACGGTCGTGTCTGTGTCCTTTTAGTTTTGCCTTCAAAAGAGAAATGAAAATCATCACAATTAAACATAAAAAAGTAAACCTGGATCATGTTGATGTTGTACTTTTCACATCACTTCTACATAACAATATGTAATAACAGCGTATCCAATGTTTGCTATATGTCTTAAAGTGTATTTTGTACCCACCACCCCATCAAACTAATGAATATGTAGGCCTAACATAATATGAGATGAGTAAGAGCATGATGGTGTCATTTCTTTTTTGCAATAATAATAAAAATAAATCAGCAACCCGTACACAGTAAAATATAAAAAACATCACATTCCAGCCTCCACTACACACCTCAACTCTTGCATCATTTTTAACACACATATTGCCTTAACTGTATTTTTAATAGCAACACAATTCAACAAACCTGTTCCGTGAATTATAGTACATCCAACAGATGAACATTTACAGCAAAAGTACTTTTATTTATGAGGAATGGACAGAAAAATATACGTACATCAAGCAGGTCTCTCCTCTCCTTTGAAGTAGGACCCACACTGCTTTCATTATCAGACCCTGTGTCTGCTACATCCATGGTAATCGAGGAAGAAGATGTGGATGGTGAGGGTAGGGTCCGAGAATGATCCAGGTCAGCTGTTTCAATACCGGAGGATATGGTAGTACTAGCTGGAGAGCCACCCCAGATTTGTTCGCACAGTTCAAAGTACAGAAGAACCACTCGACCGTGTCCACTCCTGCGTCCTGTATCAACAGCATGGCGATATTTACCTCGGACTGCTTTCATTTTTGTTGTTAAATTCCCGCGCGTGATGTCGGCATGTGAATGGGGAAACTCGTCGGAGGACTCCGTTGGGTAATGCTCTAAAAAAAGCGCTAAAATATCAACATACTTGTTCTGACAGGATTCCCAGTCGACATTTTCCTGAGTTTTATTAACTTTGTACTCCAACACGGTATTTAATAGTAGTTCAACCTCGCGGTCTGTCCACACAAACGAACCTCCAGGCGCCATGATTCAATACTAACAGGAAGTTGTAGTTGCTTTGAAGGGTTGTGATTGGCTGATATACGTTTCACCTTTGCACTACACTGCCTCCTATGGGTTGGGCATATTCTTTACAACGCTCTGTGGTGAACATCACCGGGTTCATGTAGACGATCATTTTCTCTATCCGAACATGTATGTACGGCGATATTTTTTTGCGCAGATATTCGTTTTTTCAAACACCAGGCTACGTGTGTACAGGGCCTAAATCACTACATGTGTCACACTGTGAACAGCTCCCTCTGCTGGTTATATTAAGTTACTACATGTGTCACACTGTGAACAGCGCCGTCTGCTGGTTGTATTAAGTTACTACATGTGTCTCACTGCGAACATCGCCCTCTATTGGTCAGACTTATTCATGGCAGGCGTCCCACTTTGAACAGCCCCCTCTGCTGATCAAATTAAATCACTGCAAGTGTTGCGACTGAAATCACTGGGTCAGATGAGCTGTAAAGTTAACAATGTCTAGTTTCAGATGTAAATGTACGTTTCCACATAAGTCAGATGAAATAAAAACACTTTAAAGAAAATATAATTTTTAAAACGATTTTTAAGTATCATAACCTGATTTAAAGATGTTTTGCCACCGTGTACCTGATCACTCATTCAGAAAGTTATATTAAAATATACAGTGCTGTGCAAAAGTCTTAAACCACCATTTTTGTTTATATTTTGCTTTCAACAAGTCAATTTTTCTAGGATCATTTTAACACGGTTGTAAGAATCAAAAGCAGTAGACACTCTTACAAACTTTCTTTGTCCAGCAACTGTTTTTTAAAAGGTTTTCTTGCTGGATGATTTTTCATGCACAATTTGTACAGTTTTACACATAACCAGTTTTGTGTAAATAGTTGAACCATAAATACAGATCAGTTTGAAAAGATTAACCAGTGTTGGGTGTACAATTAATAAATAACACTTTTAATATTTTATATTTAGGCCCTTTGTTACCAGAAGACTGTCACAAAAACAACATTTGTTGTCAGTTTTAGGTTGTATCCATAAAAACTTTAAAATGTAATAAACTTTGGCAGATGTTAAACATTGTCCTCCAAGGTGATTTCTAAATAGCAACGATCTGAAACATTCTCATACAGGAGCAACTATTCATCTGTCAAGTTCTGTGTCAGATTGTTTCTGTTTTCCTTGTTTGCTTGAAAACATAATTTTCTTGGCTCAGAATGGCATTTGTCCTCTACTTGTCCACTTTTTTCTGGAGCAGAGCGCTCGACTGTGTAGAAATATGACTTCTGTCACTGTCAGTTTTTCAGTCACTGTCTTTTCCAGGTTTTTTTTGCTAAGAATGGACCATACACTGGTTCATTTCATGATTTCAGTACCTTAACAAAATCTACCCCTCTGAAAATGAGTTGGATAACAGACAACCTGAAATCAAAAATTAAAAGGAAACTAAAATAGGAAATTTAAAGGTTTAATCTAACCCTAAATAACTATTGGTAAAAAACGTCATCTATTAAATGACACCGTTCATAATTTTTGTTCTTTTTCATTATTATTTTGAATGTCTAACAATATTACATTATCTGTTTTATGTTTTTGAACCACTGAGTCATGTAAAATGGAAGATATCATGAAAAATTCAACGTTTAAAAGTTTTTTTTGGATTGCTAGTTTTTCTGTACATCTGGGAGGACCATTGATTTTGCTCATTAAATGATTAAAAACATATTTTTAAACTTGATCAAATTACCAACCTTCCTATTTAATTTGAGCATTAGTCAATAGAACAGCATTCATAAGGTCATAATAACTACACTGCAATAAAATGAGAAGCAAAAGCAGATGTGACAGTTTACAGATGAGCTCTAACTTTGTCTTGTCAGAGTTTTTTTCATTAGACTGATCGTGTAGAAAGAAAACACTTGTAGTCAAACTCTTACGTCTTTCTTCATTTCAGTCCAGTGCATCATTTTATCTCCTAAAGTCCATGAAGTTGTTGCTGAGAGGAAAAATCCAGCCACCATCTGCTGAAAATCTGAACTTTGGTTCAATGATCCTCGCTGTGTAAACACGTCAACCAGAGGAGCACTTTGTAAAACTACACTTTTCTTCTGCCAAAAAAAAAAAAAAAAGATAAACCACTTCTCCTTTTCAACAACAGCCTGACCACATGGAAGAGAACTAAAGGCCAAAGAGTAATCTAAAAGTCAGGTCCTCTGGACAGATTCTTCTTTGTTGTTTTGTCTTTTATCCAAGACTTAAACACTGCAACAGTCTTGTAACACCTTCTCATAGTGGACCAACCAGTTTGCTGGTGAGTTCTGGATGTCACCAGCAAACTGGTTGATCCACTATGGAAAGATGCTGACTGAATTTGTTGAAGAAGTCTTTTGGATAAAAGATGAAATGTTTCAGCAAAGAAGAATCCGTCCAGAGGACCTGATTCAAGCTTATTAGATGTATCTACCTGAATTATTGATCATGCATCAGGATGTCAAAGTGTAATAATCTGATATCTGTAAGGTATTGATAATTATCTGTTTTATCAGCCCAGTCTGACTCATACTGCAGGTGCGGTAATGTGAAAATACATGCAGCACAAATAACTTTAATAAACTTAGTGTTCTAACAGAACACTAGAATTCTAGTGTTTTGCTTGGTGTTTCAGTTACACCCCACAGAAAAAAGTCAGTTAGATATTGACAACAAAGTCCATGCTCAATAATCCAGGTATACAAGCCAACATTTTTCAGTCAGGTCATCTGGACAGTTTCTTTTTTTTTTTGTGCTGAAACGTTTCGTCTTCGATCCGGAAGGCTTCATCAGTCAAGGAAACACACAACAATGATTGTTAGTTGGAACAAACCAGTTCTGCTTGTGATAAGATGGTCTCTTTGGTACGCCCCCTCCTCCATTGCCCGCCCTCTTCTTTGTTGACAGTCTTGTCAAACTGGTTGAAAACAGCAAAGTCCATGCTCAATAATCCAGGTATACAATTCAACATTTTTCTGTCAGGTCATCTGGACAGTTTCTCTTTTTTTGTGCTGAACGTTTCAGCACAAAAAAAAGAAAGAAAGAAAAGAAACTGTCCAGATGACCTGACTGAAACATGTTGGGTCAGTTAGATATTGTCTGATCTATTGAAAGAGTTATTATGATGTGGGTCTTTAGGACAGTTAAGTTCTGATAAATACCTTTTTAAACTGGGATACTAAATTTCAGCTAATGGAAATTAATCATTTCAAATGACAAATTTGGTGAAACATAAATTTAACTATAACACAGTGAGTTTAATTTTATTATTTATTTATTTTTACTGCAATGTGCTACTTTAAACTTTTGAACGATTTTCAGATTTTGTTCGTTTTTAATAGAAGCGTTCTTGTAATCGGATGTTGTTGATAAAGTTAAACAAAAAAATCCTGTGTTTTGATTGGTTCGTTGAAGCACGAGGGAATATAATAGATGAAGCTGATTGGTTGTTTTTCTCACGTGACTTTATAACCATTGGTTATAAATTCAGGAAAACTTTCGCGCTGCATTCAAAGCTTTGTTGTAAATTCGTGTATTTAGCATCGGGAATAACTATTTTTATATGTACTTTTTAATTTATTTATGTTAAACTTGTAACTTCTTTAAACTTTAACCTTCTTGTAACGTTTTGGGAACAGTCTTTTTAACTATCATGGATTATTTTGACTCACCAGTGGTTTTTTCAAACTCACCCAGAAAAGCGCGAGGACAAATTCAGGTTGGTTTCCATGATCTAAAGAAGATAAAAGTCAAAAAGCGTTAAATAAGTTCGTTAAAAACGCTGTAAAATAGCGTCTTATATTGCAAAGACGTTCCCTACTTCCTGGGACTAACAGCCACACTTTGTTGTCACTTTCAGGTAATTTTTGGACCGATGTTTTCAGGCAAAAGGTGAGTTTTTCACTCAAATGTTGGTTAGTTTTGTGTTTTATTTATTGCTGAAGCTGACAGCAGTTGTGTTTGTAAAAGCACCGAGTTTAAAGTGATGCTGTTGTGCTACATTTCCGCCCAAATCTTAACCTTCCCGCCAATATTTCTTTTGTTTATTCAGCTGCCATCCACCAGCAACATTTAATGTTGGAAACAAAACGTATAAAATACATAAAACTATGCAATACATGGTATAGGTTTTGTATAAAGATGATTATAGGACCACTTTGTACAACTTATGAATGGATTATGTAAAGAGTACAGTGAATAATACCTTTTTGTTTCTAAAGAGCTGGACTTGATTTTAATATTTTAATAAAATGTTTTTTAGACTTTTAGGATTTTTTTCTGTCCTTTGAACCATCATTCAGATATTTACAAGTCCAGAAAACCAGTGTTTCCTTTTATTTATTGTTTTTCTTTTCTTGTATTCTTGTATTAAAAATATGCAAGGAAGTCTTTGCAGTGATTTAAAACTTTTGCCTTACGCAGCGGGTGTTGGTCAAATAAACTTGTTACTGAACTTGTATTCGTTTTGCAGCACTGAACTGATGAGAAGAGTTCGCCGCTTCCAGATAGCCCAGTACAAATGTTTGGTGATCAAATACGCCAAAGACACTCGTTATTCTGACACTGGCATGGCCACGCACGACCAGTAAGTGTTCTTTTATCTGCTTTGTTTCTGTCCATACTAATTAACTTGTGCAAAGATTAAGGAGGAATGAGTTTTTGTATTTGCTTGTGCAAAACGGGCGGATAGTTTAAATGCTCAGCATGAGTTGTGAGGGATTTTATTGAAAAATGTGTGCAAAAGTAACTAATTCATAGCTGAGGTTCGACCCAATACAGAGTTTAGTTTGTTTACTGATAAAAAGTATGTATTCATTATTATTTTTAATCTAAAAGGTGATCAAATCTAGATTTATATAAAGATCTCTGGCTGATGTCGATGAAAATGTATTTAAGTCTGAGCTTACACGGACCCCTGGCGCTCATTCCTCAGTTTCTCGTCATCACATTTTACATTAATTTTCTTAACGAGTACCACCTCAGATATGACTAAACTCAAAGTACCTCCATTATGTCAGACATTAGACAGCAGGCTTGTACTTTTGGTTTTTAATTTTCTACTGAAAGGCTTCAGACTTATTATCTGACATAAACAAGCAAACTGATGGTAATTGGTGGTAATTGATGGTAATTACCTTATTTCACTTGTAAGCACCTGACACCAAAATGTATTTTGTGTACCACACTTTAAGAACCATGACAATGGGGGGGAAAAGTTTTGTTACTCAAACATTTTTCTTTATCCTTTTGGATTTATGTATTTATTTTTTCATAGAAACACCATGGAGGCCGTGCCAGCCACCTGTCTGAGAGATGTTCGCTCCATGGCGCTGAAAGCCTGCGTTGTTGGGATTGATGAAGGCCAGTTCGTAAGTTTGTCTCATCTTCATACAGATTAGTGTTGGAGGATCTGCCATCAGAACTCGTTGTTAAAAGCTGCTCGTTGTTTCGTGTTCTAGTTTACAGACACAGTTGAGTTTTGTGAGGAGATGGCCAATTTAGGGAAGATCGTCATCGTAGCGGCTTTGGATGGAACCTTCCAGAGGAAAGTGAGTGTCGACTCGTATCCATGGATGCTGCAGAAGGTTTCAGACAATGAAAACATTTTAAGAACGACCCAAACAGCCTGCATGAACAGAACCAACTGTGGTCCTGTTCTTTCCGTTTAGCCATCACATATTGTAGCTTTATTTTTAAATTACCAAAACATTCACAAAAACAACAAAACAGGAGAAAGTGCTAACTTTTAATTGTCCCAGAGCTTTTAAGAGTTGTTCCCCTGTACATATTAAAATAAAACATGGTTTAAAAAACATTCAGGGACTTATAACTTCCAAATATGTATACATAGTTAAAGCCTTGATGTTTTGAACGCGTCTGATCATGTGTGTTTGTTCTTCTAGCCTTTTGGAAACATCCTAAACCTCGTTCCTTTAGCGGAGAGCGTGGTGAAGCTCCACGCCGTCTGCATGCAGTGTTATAAAGACGCTGCCTACACCAAGAGGATCGGAGCGGAGAAGGAGGTGAGGAGGCACATCCAGATGGTCATTGAGTTACGGAGAAGACGGGCAGGAAGGAATCAGTCGTGACTCGTGTGCTTTACAGCCTTTTATTGCAGCAAACACCCAGAACCATTTGAATAAGGGCGATTTGTTCAATCGGCTTTGGTTCAGCTGTCACGTGATTTTTCTTTCATGGGCCGACACTGGAGCTAAATCTGTCACATTTAAAGTCTTTTTCAGAGGATGAAGACATCTTTTACTTCTCATTCTGTCACATAAACACTAAAATAGGTTGCGTCTATTTGACCTGCCATATTCTGCGTAATGAACAGAGTATAAGCTGAAAAGACTTGAGATTGTAAAGCTCAATAATAAAAGTTAGATTTTTGTGCGACAGGTGGAGGTGATCGGCGGTGCTGACAAATACCAGGCGGTGTGTCGAAAGTGTTACGGCGGACACGTGGAAAAAGAGAACAAACCTCACGTCAGGAACGAAACGCCACAACACCTCGCGGGGAAACTCGTGGACCCAAATTTCCCCCGGAAACTCTTTTCACATCTCCACCTCTGACGGAGCGGGACTTAAAAAAAACAAGATTGCTGCTTAAGTTGAGAATTTGTCAAATGTTTGTTCGTGGGTGATAATCTGTTTTAGCATGCACGCATTCATTGGATTTTATCAGTTTGTTTTATTTATCGGTGCTTGAAATACATTTTAAAAGTTGCCCTAAACATTTTAGAGGTAATCGTTTACTTTGGATTTCTTTTCACATTTTTAAACTAGTGTCCTCATCGAGTGAGATTTAAATTATTTTTTGAATTAAGTATATATGTATTTTTTATCATTAAGGAATTCTGATGCGTTGCGGCGTAGAAACAATTTTTGTTTGTTACAATGAGTTTGGACAACAAAAACACATTTTATTCTTCATGTATATTTTTGTAAATAACTTACAGAAACTGGTGTGTAATTCAACTCTCATACAACTAAGCACCAAAATAACCAGATTAAAGATTACCAGATCATTAGCGATCTGCTTGTCACTACACAAAAACAAATCTGGCAGTTTGGGTTTAAAAGGAACAGCATGTAAAACCAGAACGAATGAATCCAGTCCAGTTCGACGGCATCCGATGAACGGTTTTATTCAACAAAAACAAGACGAGAAATCAAAGCAAAAAGGGAAATTAATTTCAATCCCGTTTGTCCAGAAAAATCGAGACAAATCTTGAACCTCTTAAGATTATTAACAAAGTCCATGCTCAATAAGATTATCTAAGATTATTTATCTCACTCTAGCCTCTTCAAACAGAAGTAATGAAATGATCAGTTTCAACTTTGAAATTAAAGGTTCAAAGTTTTCGTCTCAAACAGTTCGTTTGCTATTCTTTCCAAGTTTATCAAAGTTTGGAGGAAAACTTTTCACTCGTCTTCATTGTAAGAAACCGTGTGAACATATCAAAACTCGTTTTGTGTTGGATAATTACAAATTGTTCTGTTACATACCAGTACTTGGCAGCTTGTGAGTTTCACTTTAAATAAAATAAAAGTTTCACAACACTTAGAATAACACTTGCAGAATTGAAACCGATTTTTCTAACTCCATTTCTTGCCAGTCTTGTGTGTACAGTAAATGTTCTAAGTGAAGATTGTAGTAAATGTACTTTTTTTTTTACCCTCCTGTCTTTGGGTCAAAACGACCAATGAGGCCTCAGTTTTAAAACCAACATTTTGACCCAAGGACAGAGGGTTAAAAAGTGGAAATTTAACATGAGAAGTGTAGAAACCCTGTTCAGAGGCAGTAATGTACCAAGATGATGCAACAAATGTTGGCAAAACTTTAAAATAAATTCAGTTGGAGGCAAGTAAATACGTCAGACTTTTAATTGATCTAAATACTAAAGTGACGTTTCAGAGGCTGAAAGATAAACTAAGGCGATGTGAGGAACTGAATGCAGCTGTTCAAACCTAAATAACCAAAGTTTAAATATAACATGTTTTGCTTTTTTAACGCCACAACAAAAAAAGATACATTTGTGTTCAGTTACAGCTACACACTTTCATCAAAAGATAAAACATCGATAACGCAATTAACTCAAAACATGGCAACATAAGAAAACTGATCTTGGGCTGTCTGATTCTCGTCTTCCTGAACAGCAGCCACATTTCTATCAGACAAAATGAGCCATGTCTTCATGGGCGGGTCGAGGCAGTAAACTGGGATTAATAGACACGAAAGCATTTTAAGTAACGGTAAATGTCAAAACAGATGCAGCTTTCTTTAAATAATGTCACGTTGGAGAACAAACTCCGCCGTGGAAGCAGTGAAATGGGTGCAGAGTTGATGTAAAGCTCCTCTCTTATCTGAAAGCCGCAGGTTTAAAGGTCAGTTCGGCACGTGTAAACTTTTTTTTATTTATTTTTTACCAACACTGATCTGTTACACATTCTGGAAGTAATGAGGCGACTGGTTTTTAAATGTTCCGATGGCAACAAAGAAACGTTTTATTGTGGCACAAAAACATCTTAAACCACAAAAATATCCTTTGAACTAAATTTGTAGCACTGTTAATTTAATAACTTTTTGCAAAAAAAAAATAATTTTGGCTTCAAAAACTCACAATAGTTGTGACCACAAGAAACAAAAATGTATCTCATAACCATGAAAATTACATTAACTCTATATTCAAAGGCACATTTTTGAGTTTACAAAATTAAAAAGAAAAACGTTAGCCTCTAGATTATTGTTTTTTTTTCTTTATCTCTAATGCAACGTAACCCCTCCCCTGCAGGATCAGCTCATGTGAGGTAAAAGTTGCTTTTGCACACAGGTCTAAGGTTAGATTACTCGAACTTTAATCTCTGATGTCTTCAGATCTGATCTTAGACTTTTTGACGTAAATAGCAGTGTCCGTCGTCTCAAACATCACGCTTCAGATCCTCGAAACACTTTGAAAAGTGCGTTAAATCCAAACCACATCAGCAGGACTGAGCTCCGGGTCCTTGCAGCCGATGACCCGGAACGCCACCTTTCCTGTTTCATCAATATGTGGGCGGCTGGTAGCCGTCGTCACCCTGAGGCGAGAGGTTGGAGGTGAAGGGAGGCTGATGGTGCGGCTCGGGCGGGTTGTTGGGGTAGGTGTAGGTGGTAGGGGTGTACGTGGTGGGATTGTAGGAGGTGGGTGCGTAGGTTGGAGGGTAGGGGGTGTGGTGGTCCGATGGCGGCTCGGTGTAGGTAGGAACAGTGCCGTCGTTTACACCTCGACGGAAACGACCGAGGGCGAAGTAGGTTAGGATTCCCTGCAACACAAGAAAAACATGCAGGTTGGTTCAGGTGCTCTAAATGTTTTTACACCAAACGAGTGACAAAACGAGCTGCACATTATAACAAATTAAAAGAAATGTCTTAGTTACGTCAGTTAATTTTCAGTTGTTTTATTTTGTTAATAAAACTGCAAGTTATTTCAGTGCCCATTATGGGTTTGTAGTACTTCTGTAACAAAAAGGTACAAACAAATGTAGTCACATCTGTATGAGAAGAATCCCTTTTAAATTGTGGTGGATAATTTTTTTTTTCTTTGATTTTCAACTTTTTATAGAAATAGAAAACTGTAAAATAGGTTTTGCTCTAAATCTTGAAAAGGGAAATAAAGAAAATGCATTTCAAGTTATGATTTTGTTTTTATTACACATTTGAAACAATAAAAGTCTTGCATAAAGTAAATGTATACAATGGTCACTTCAGTGAACAATAATAAAAAGAAAAGTAAATTAAACTAAGAACAAATGCATATCCCAAGCTGCATTGCATGCCAGAGTTTTAAAGATTTTGTATGAGCATGTATTGAGAATGACTCAGCTACATATCAGATTTTAGCTTTATATTTGTAAAAATCACAAAGTTGTAGTTGTTTTTGTGTTGCCTCAAGTCAAACAGCTGTGGAGGCCATCATTCTTTCAGTCATTGGGGTGACTGAAAGCTAATCATTTGTAGATGTACATCAGATTATTACTTCCTGAGAGTTTAATTAAAATCCATCCAGTGGTTCATGAGATATTTTGCTTACAAATGCACAGGTGGCCTTTCTCCTGTGGTTTACAGGATGGCAGAGCTCACTTTAAACTTTGTAACCAGGAACTGTCCTTTGTTCCACACAGCGGCCAAGAGTTTGGCACAATCAGCAGGTACTTTGAAGGTGATTTTAGTCATTTTAGTATTTATATTTTAACCCGAGACGTTTTATTTAAACATTAAAATGTCCTTACACCACATTTTTGTAAGTAAGAAATTTGAGGATCTCGCAAAAACAAACAAAAAAAACCCCGATTTGTTCAAAATCCTCCAGGAGTCTGTACTCAAACAATCCTCAGTCAGACTGAACTTTTACAAAGAGAGGAAATCCAGCGGCATTGTTGACCTCCACAGGATGTGCAGGAACCCAGACAAACAAAAGTTCTCGCTCGCCGTCAAAAGAAAACTAAACAATGGTGCGTAGCGGAGCTGCAGGGAAAAAACTACTTTCTGCAAAAAACTATTACTCATCTGCAGTTTGATTGGATACAGAACATGGTCCTAATGTTCTGTAGACAGAACCAAAATACATCTCCTCAGTATGAGTGAGAAGAGTTCTGTTTGGAAAGATGGCACTAAACTGAACCAGGGATCTCCAAGTCATGTTGCAACATTTATTAAAAACATCAGAAGTTGGGCTGTGTAGTAAGATACAGTCATCAAAGTAAACAAGCTTTATGCTTTATTAAAGAATGGTTAAATACAGATGAACGTATTGATTCTCCCAGATCTTAAACTCAAAGTAGTGTTGAGGAAGGTCTTGTACTCAGGAAAACACGGAGTTAAAGTGGTTCATCTCACTTTTAGCAATAAAACATCCATCCATCATCTTTTAACCGCTTTTTCCATTTTGGGTCACGGGGGTCGCCGGTGCCCATGTCCAGCAATCGCAATAAAACATTATTTAAAAAAAATGAAGAAATTTAAAAACATGGCGTAGTTCAAGTAATTATCAGGATTCAGAGCTCTGATGAAAGTTAGAAATTATTTCTCCAGCTTTAGCATCCCTCAAATTCAGAACAGAATTTAAAATCTTACAAACTTGGCTCCATCTTAGAGATCCTATTGCTCCATATTTTCCCCAACAGCCCTTTGACCTCAGACTGCAGGTTTACTTGTGGTTCCTAGAGCTTCTAAGAGTAGAATGGGAGACAGAGCTTTCAGTTATCAGGCTCCTCTCCTGTGGAACCAACTTCCAGTTTCTGTCTGTGAATCTGACACCTCGTCTACTTTTAAGACTAGGCTTAAGACTTTCCTTGTTGATAAATCCTATAGTTAGGGTTGACTTGGGTTTCCTGAGCTATCCCTTAGTCATGCCACTATAGGCTTTGACTGCTGAAGGACAAACTCTTCTCACCACGTCTTCACTCTGCTGCTGTCTTTACTGTTTGTATTAGTCATTATTTCTACCATTAAGACTGTTTTTCTTGCCATAGAAACTAAACCTGGACCTTCTTGTTTGTCCGCGTCCCTGTTCGGTCCTGTCTAACCACAGTCCGTTAAGGTAGACGGATGCTTGTCCAGAAACCGGTTCTGATTAACGTTTCTTCCTGGTAAAATAAAACAAAGTAATTCCTTTCCACTGTCTCCTCCTTGCAGCTCAGGATGGAGGACTGCGTCAAAATGAAGACTTGACACAATCTACTGGCTTCCTCACTTTTACCAAATGGCATTTAAAAATATACTGTATGTGACTGCACTGTATTATAATCAGATTGAATGAATAGTAATTGGATTTGAATATGGATCTACTTTGAATTGGATTTAAAATTTAAACCCATTTTTCTTTATACAGTGCTCTTGGATGACTTCTGTCGTGAATTTGCGCTATACGTATAAACAAAACAAATTGAACTGAAATATCTGGGGTTTGCAGGAAATGCTGCTTAACATTTTTATTGAAAACAGGCAAAATATATATAAGTGCAATTGAGGATACTTGATGAAAATAGGACATCAGGGTTGTGCTCACCCATGTGGCGATGGAGAAGAACGAGAAGGCGATGGTGGCACGTGCTGCGTCCACAGGGACACCACCATAGTCCTGCGTTTGACTCCACTGACTGGTCAACACGCAGAAACACACAAACCACAGGAAGGTCCACGCTCCTGAAAACATACAGACATGCAGAAACAGTCACCATTTCCTCCCTGTGTGGAAAAACCCTGATATGAAGAGTAAATATTTCTGACAAAAACAGAGAAACAACGAATGAAATGCTTCTCCAGTATTTATCTGCTCAAGTGAACACTGGCCATTTCTTTTCCAGACTATCACTTCTTTGTTTCTCTGAAGAATGGATGTTTGTGAGCTGTGTTGCGCACAGCTGATAAGTGTTTATCTCATCACAATCTGAAAGGTCATGCTGCTGTTTCACCCTGCAGCAAAGTCACTCCTGTGTTAAACACTAAATACTGTGTCTGGAAAACAAGTCTCCAGCACAACTTTGCCTTGACTAAAAGCTGGGGATGACTCAACTACCACACCAAATCTTTGCTCAATCTGTAAAACTTACTGAGCTGAATGGAAAAAGGTTTCAGGAGTGATTTGTGTCAAACGAGTGGAAGCAAAGGTCAAAAGTAAGTTTACAACCAGGCAAGCTGTGTTGTATGGTCTGGAGACAGTGACACTGACAAAAAGACAGGAGAAAGAACTGCAAGTGGCAGAAATGAAGATGTTGAGGTTCTCCACAAGGATGGATAATATTAGAAATGAGATCATCAGAGGTACAGCACATGTTGAAAGTATTGGAGATAAAGTTAGAGAGGCAAGATTGAGATGGTTTGGACATGTCCAGAGGAGGGACAGTGGGTATATTGGTAGAAGGATGTTAGAAATGCAGCTACCAGGAGAAAGACAAAGAGATAGGCCAAAGAGGAGATATATGGATGCAGATAGAGAACATGGAGGTAATTGGAGTGAGGACAGAGGATGCAGAGGACCGAGTAAGACGGACAAGGATGACTAGCTGTGGTGACCCCTGAAGAGGGAACAGATGAAAGATAAAAAACAAGACAAGATCTCAAGTTTACTGCTCACCTGAGAATCCCAGGTCAGCCAAGACAATAAACTTTCTTTCCTGTGCGTTGCTCATAAAAGGCACATAAACGTCCAACACGACGAAGGCCACGCAGGCCAGGAAGGCGATCACCCCGATACCAACAGCATAGCTGCACGCAGAGTTGCTGTGGTTGAACATGCACCTCCCCTCAGGATCGTGCAGACTGTTGATGTATCCTTCTCCAGTTATCGTTCCAAACACCACAATGGCAAACACCTAAACAAAACAGATAACAGAGCATGGCAATTAAAGGCCAACTGGTTACATAATGCAGCGTCAAGTCCGAGTGCTGAATGGCTTTACTGAACTCTGCTGAAGAAGCTAAATTTCAGGTTTTATCATAAAAAAGTCGCTACCGTATATTTGTCAAAACTGTAGCCGATATAAGCAAAACATCGTTCCAAACACCACAATGGCAAACACCTATTAAGGGGCCTCCCTCCCATTTTTCTCACTCCCTCACTATCCATCCTTCGGTTCAAACAGTCGTATACTGCCATCCGGTGGTTGGAAAAAGGTACTACTCGCAAAACAAATTAACCAACTTTTCTTCTTAAATTTTACAATAGTTACTAATTGTCAAATTTCAAACAATATTATCGTTTATCACAATAATTTCTGAGACAATTAATTTCCTAGCAAAATTTGTTATCGTGACAGGCCTAATTAGATTAACTAAAAAGAAGGAAAAACAGTAACTAAAATGAGCACAACTAAAAGCTGAAAGGAAGAGAATGGTGGCTAAAATAAGCAGAACAGTTAAAAGTAGCAGATAGTTATTAATAGCCGAATGGTTTCTAAAAGAAGCAGAAGTGCAGCTAAAAGTAGCAGAATAGCTAAAAGCTAAAAGGAGCAGACTGGTTGCTAAAAGGTAGAAGTAGGAAAACAGCAGCTTAAAGTAAAAAAAAAGGGGGTTGAACAAAGCTAAAATTGTTAGAACTGTAGCCAAGAGCTACAAGTAGCAAAACAGTTGCTAAAACTAGATGTAGTAAAACTAGCTATAAGTGGAAAAATAGTAGCTAAAATTAGCATAAGATGACTAAAATTGAACAAGCAGATTTCAGAGAACCTTTTGAAATAATTGAAGACATCTCAACATATTACTATGAGGAAGAAACAGTAAATCTAATCTAAAATTTTGAAAATGTGAATGGCTAAAATAGCTCAAAGTAATGCATATTATTATTATTGTGTTTTGTTTGATTGGGCCTTTGGATGGGAAATAGATTTTGTTTGTTTATAAATGTCTACTAATCAGTCTACGTCTCATGTTGTAACATTTAGGGGCTTGTTATTATGTCTGTTTCATCAAGCCTCATATTACAGTTGAAATGCATTAGTAAAGTTACAAAATGTAACGTGATTTAGCATTTACACAAAGAAAAACTTCTGGTTACTGGCCAAGCCAAAGTGACCTTTAAGTTTAGTCATTAACTAATATTAGCACATTTTCCATTGAGGCAGACTCAAACATTTTAACCTTCAGGTGATGTAGTTTGTAAAAGAACTCAAAATCTAAATCCAAAGCTGAAATGGGCACAAAATCAGAATTATGTTATAAATGTTATTATAAATGTTATTATACACATTTAAATTCACAATTAGTTTTTCACAGCAAGCCGTTCAGGCATATGAGGGATAATCACATAAATTGTTATAGTCTATATACAAACTTATTAAGAGCAGGCCCTTGCTTGTTGTTGACGTACTTAAGCTCAGTTTGTACCTAAAAATCAAGGCAGGAGCTCCATAATTAAACAAAGACCCTCCCAACTTTTCCGCGAGACAAAGCAAGCATCATAAACAGCCCTCTGTCTCCGTGCCGACACTTTTGCTGCCTGGTTCCTCCAACCGTCCTGTGGTCCGTTGCTATCTGCTCTGATTACCTGCCGCACCATGTGACCAACCTCTGGGTGCAGCTTCCTGCCATGCGACTCCAGAGGTGCCACCAGCTCCCTCACAGCACTCATTGATTTCTGGCAGGACAGATACGAGCTTGTTTGACAAGTGGGAGGTGAGAGAAGGGATAATCCCTCTGGTCCGATGAGGCATAAAAAAAAAACAGACTATGGGGGAGTTCCAGAACACAACGTGTACAAATCTTGAGCCGTTTCATTTTTTAATTAAGGATTCAGTAATCCAGGATAAATATACAAAAAGCTAGGCTTTGTCTGGTCTTGTTAAACGGGTTTATACGCACATCCAACCAGGCTAAGGAAGCAAAACAAAGTCAAATAGCTTAAAGCAATAGTTAAGATCTTTAGAGTGGGGTCATGAGAAAAGGTTATAGGAAGGAAATTAATATATAGATGTCCCTTTTATAGACCTCAGTTTGATGAAATAAAGTTTAATTCTCACCAGAATGACAAGCGACTAATTCCAGCGTAGCCAAGACTGCAGAAGAAGAATGCTGCCATTATAAGAGCTTTAAAGAATCGTAACTGTTCATGTTTTTGGAATAAGATCATCTTACGTTGAGGAGTGATGGAGTTGCAGGCGCATCTTGTGAGCTTGTCATGCTCAAAGTATGTGTTGTGAATTACTCTCAGCTACTGCCCAAGCCAAAAACTGTCTGACTTTTAGCCATTTCGTTTAGGCTAATGTTTTATAAGCTGTTACAATCATATTTAATTGGATTACATGTAACCCCCAAAGTATTTTTTATTTGTTTTTATAATTTGTACAGTAGTTCAAGAGATATTTTGCTGATAGACAAACATGGTTGACTTCAACAGTTAATAATTAAGCAAAGATCTGGCACGAGTGACAAAGAGTACGTTATGCAAATGACTTAGCTACAAGTACAACCACACTAAACTTTTGCACAATATCTGTAAAACTGGCAGCATTATAGCCTATCTGCCATTTTTTTAAGTCAAGCTATGGTGGCCATCTTGGATTTGGTTGGCTCCAAATGTTAAAACAGTTGTAGAGGTAATCCCAATAATCATTTCCTGAATGTTTCACTGAAATTTGTCAATTGGTTCATGAGATATTTTGCCAACAGAGTTGACTCCAAGTAGGCAAAGGGATAATGTAAACACAGTTCTTCATCAATCTGTTATTGCTCAGAGTTTATGTTGGCAGTAAGCCTCAGCTACAAACACACCAAACTGTAGCTCAATATCTGTAGAAATGACCGCGTTAAAGTCAGAATGATGTTTATGAAAGCTGTAGCAGCCATCTTGAATCAGGTCGACTCCAAAAGTTAATTAGTTGTAAATGTATATTCAATTATTACTTTTTGAAAAATTTTATTTGTCCATTGGCTCAAGAGATATTACGCTAACAGACTGCTACATAAACAAACCCAAGCCAAAATATTATCATCCGCGTTCCAGCAGCAACAAATACGTTGAACTAAAAGAGTTCATCGGGAACACAATCCAGTTTTAGCTTCTCTCCACTGGCTCTTTGTCAAATTCAGAATATAATTCACTTCTAACCTACAAAGCTCTCAACAACCTAGCTCCATCTTATATTACAGATCTTGTTTTATATTGTCCTAACAGAGCATTTTTCTCTCAGACTGCAGGTTTACGTGTGGTTCCGAGAGTTTCCAATAGCAGCATGGGAGAAAGATCTTTCAGTTATCAGGCTCCTCTCTTGTGGAACCAACTTCCAGTTTCTGCCCGTAAGGCTGACACATTATCCGGTTTTAAGACTAGGCTTAAGTATTTCCTTTTTGACAAATCCTATAGTTAGGGGTGGACTTGTTATGCTGTCATAGGCTTAGACTACTGGTGGACAAATTGACCTCATTTTTAAAAAACAAATAGTTACAAGTACATACATATGAATAGTTTACATTTGAATTTATTTTTATCTTAACACGTGATTCTCGACCTGCCATTGTGTATCTGTTCCTCCTTCCTGTCCTCTCAAACCCAGCTGGTTGAAGCAGATGGCCGCTTGTCCTGAGCCTGGTTTTGCTGGAGGTTTCTTCCTCATGAGGGAGTTTTTTTTGTTTCCACTGTTACCTTTATGATTGCTCAGGATGAGTGATGAAGTTAGACTCGAAGCGGTCTGCTCCTCAGATATAGAAAGTTAACTTACTTTTTATAATACGGATGTTTCTGTGCAGTGCCCTGAGATGACTGACCAACAGATCGAAGCCTAGTGTAGGAGGGTTAATCTAAGACCAACTACGGCACATGTTTGGTTTTAAAGAAAACAAAACTTTCCTTGTGTCAATGTGACCCTTAAAAAAAAATCCAACTGAGAGTGAAGTTGAGTAACAGAAGGGGGGTGAGGGATATCACCTTACCTGGCTGCTCAGAGCCCCTGTTTACCAGCAACACACAACCTCTCACACACTCACTGTTTCCTAAACACACCAACAGCTCCCAACAAACTCCACAACCGTTTGTGTCAAACTTAAATCTACACGATTATATTTTAAATCAACTGCAAGTCTTTGTGACTGCAGATTACAGCCAGCCCGAGCAGCTGAGAAGGCAGAAAGTTTTATCTCAGCAGGGTCAATGGCAGAGAAAACGCCTAAAGATGGCCTTATTGTTCCCAAAGTCTTCAGCAGTTGGACATTTAGGGCACGAGCTGACCAATTTACTTTAATTATTGAAGGTCCTGAAATTTGCCTGGCAACAGGTGATCATCTCTGAATTTTCTCCCCTTTTTAAAACAAGCAACGCTTTATGGCTTTGACTCCAGGATAAAGAAAGTCGTTTTGTTTTGTAGTAAGGTTGTTTGTGTGCGCTGCGGTCCACCCGGAAGTGAGGATCTGAGTGAGTGACAGCGCGTGTCGTTTAGTCCTCGCGCTGTCAGTCAGCAGCTGCTGCAGGAAACATGACGCCCGTTGAAGAAGAAGCGCCCCATTCTGGCCAAGTTAAGCAAAACGACACCTTTCCAGCACCCCTGAGTGTTCGCAGCTCGTTATCTGTTCGACTTTGTCCATAATGAAAACCCTGACTCACCCAGCTGAGCAGCCGCACGATAGTTTGCGGATCCCGGATGAACTTGTGGAAGTCGAAGCCTCCCCCCGCGAGCGGAACTCCGTACGCGCTCGGTCCACCTGTCCCCTCCATGTCTCCGTGTGGGCCGACCCTCCCGAGCTCTCCCCCCCCACGCGTGACCCGAACCGAGCTGACAAGATACCCCTACCGAACTGGACAGTCCTGCCGCTCGCAGCTCCTCCGAGGACTGACGGTGAGAGGACCGGGGCGGAGCCGCGCAAACCCGCCTGTTAAAGGAGGCAAATGACAAGCCTGAATAAAAATAATAATAATAATAAAAAAAAAAACTTCCTGAAGTTCTTCTTGTCCATGAATGCCTCAGAAGCTTTGGTGAAAATCTCTCGAAATGACAGTACCCCGTCCCGCAGCTAGACAGCCCGTTTTGAGCTATTTTCTTTGCAGCTGATTCTTGGGCCGCCAGTTAAATAATAATACAAATAATAAAAAAAAAAAAACATAGATTTTCATGAATGAGTTCACATTTTGCACATTTTCTAACAAAACATTTTGCATATACTAATATTGTTGTATAATCAAATATTTATTAATCTGTTGGTTAGAATATGTATTTTAACATTTTTCCAGAACTATGAGATATTATATTTATCCAATTACAAAATAAAATACATTAAATTCCTTAATGCATTACAATAAAATTAGATGTATTTTTTTCAATAAATGTAAACACAAAATATCCAGATTGTAAAGATAATCAGGTTATTACATGCATCTAGAAAAGTTCAATCTGGTCCTCTGGATATTAAAAAAAAAAAAAAAAAATTGTAGAAACGTTTCGCCTTTCATCCGAAAGACTTCCTCAGTCTGAGGTGCTGTATTCAGCTTAGTCTTATAAATAGCACCCTCTCGCAGTGGATCAACCAGTTTGCTGCTGACAACCAAAACCAGCTGCTTAACTAATCAAGGAGGACCATCAGCCTAACGATGGATCATTAGCACACTGATGGCTGTTTGCTATACACAGGGGGCTGAGTGATACTAGCAATAACAGCATTGTAAGAGAGGGACAGTTGAACACGGAGGCCTCCACCCTTGTTTAATGATGGACAATTTCTTTTCATAAAGATGGCCTCCTTTATTTATTTATTGATGGCCTCCTTTATTGAGCATGCATCAGGTTATTACATGTAATTAAAAGTTAAATCTAACTGATATTAAATAAATGTTATATGTCTGTTTTTGTTATTTAGGAATGGAATAAAGCCTCTGGTGTGTCATCATTTTGCAACCTGTAGAAAGAAGCAAAGAGCGGCTGGAAAATGACGGCTACCTTGCAAGACATCGACTGCCCTGATGCAGCCGGTATGCAAGCTACACATCAAACTGCTTGGCGCTTCACTGACCAAGCCACTTCCAGTTGCTCGCTTTAAGGGTCACATAACGATGATATCATACGATAGGCTGCGTTCCAATCCTAAATGTTAAATCACACATCCATCGTCAGTGCAGTTACGGCATGCATTCTCAGGGATTCATTACCTACAGCGTTCCCTCAGTGTAAACTGAACTCGGAAAAAGGGCCTTTTCTTTGCTCCTGTAACCTGGAACACCTTGCAAAAAGATCTGAAGCGTTCTACTTTCATCTGTTTGAGGGATTTTAAACATTTGATAATGTCAATAGAAATATCAAATCAATTTTTTTCTTGTTTTTAGTATTTTACCTTGTTTTATATGGCATCTTGACTTGACTGTGTTTATAACTTCTTTTATTTGATTTTAATTGCTTTTTGTTGAATTATTGCTGTCTGTACTTCATATACATTTTCTGTCTAAAACAGGCCTCTCTTGAAAATGAGTCCTCGTGACTCCTTGAGACTAACCTGTATAAATAAATGTTGAATGAAAAAAAAAATCCATCCAACCATTATCTTTATCAGTGGTGACTTTAGCTCTTTATTGGGGGGGTGCTCAAGCACCCCTAAATTTTAACTCAGCACCTCTGAAAAATAAATAAACCAGCATTAAAATTTTGTAAGGAAGCTAAGTTCTCAAACTTTAGACTCACCAAAATATTGAGAGAAATATTAGCTTATGCTATTAGTGCTTAGTGTATTTTTAGTTGATGGCTTCTTAGTTCATATCTTAGATGTTATTATTGTTTTTCTTTTACATTTTATTGTTGGATGTAACTGGGACCCTGTGTACATAATTTCGTTCCACCACATGTACCACATGTGGTGCGAACGACAATAAAGAAGCTCTGACTCTGACCAAAATATTGAATAAATTTGGAATAAATATGGAATAAATGATCTTAAACGTGCCAGTAAAATATATGATTTTTTTTGCACTAGTCAGATCCTCAACAGCTGTCAGTCAGTCAGTCCAATAGGCTCGTCAGCAACTGACCAATCAGCGACCTCAATTTGTCCCAAAGTGAAATGCCTCTTACCTGCAGGGACTGTACCCCCTTTTCCTCCAACATTGTTGGGGCTTTACTTTGTGACAAATCATCAGAAAAAAATGGTTAAACGTTGTTAGTGGGGAACAAGCAATTCAGACAGCATTACCCTGAGCGTCTAGGGTGGAAAACAGTTTATTCCATTTCCAAAACCCAAACGGAGTGTGGAAAAATGTAAAAGATGGACAAAGGCCGGCAGCTGACCTATGAGCAGCTGAATACAACAGCGATAAACAGGAACTACCACATGTTCGTCTGTATGAAGGTAACTGCAAGTAAAGCCTCCATTTTCTGTCATAATTACATTGTATGCTTAATGCTTGAATTAAAGGTTAATGCTTAAAGCTAGTTCAGCTTTGTTTTGTGTGTTTTGTATGTAGTTACTTGTTGCAACTTCTGGTTGCGCAAGTTTTGTCTTTGTTTATGCTCCTTTAAAAGTCCTATTTGTGACTAATCTCCTCGTTTATGGCTATACCACCCAGAACATGCCCGATCTCATCTGATCTCGGAAGCTTAGCAGGGTCGGGCCTGGTTAGTACTTGGATGGGAGACTGCCTGGGAATGCTAGGTGCTGTAAGCTTTTGCACTTCTCACAAAACTACACCAAACGGTGTGTTGTTCATGCCAAGATCCATTGTCAGTACTGGGGCTTAGCACCCCAAAAGGTCAGATCCTAGAATGGCCCCTGCCACTTCTTCTTTTCCAGGTTGTGGGGATCACTGGTGCCCATGCCCAGCAGTCACTGTTCAAGAGGCATGGGACACTCTGGATAGGTCCATCACAGGGCCACAAGAGACGAACGAGACAAACAACCATTCACATTGTCACTCTCACCTAGGGCCAATTTAGAGTTACCAATCAGCCTAACATGCATGTTTTTGGTCTGTGGGAGGAAACTGGAGTACCTGGAGAAAACCCACACGCATGGAGCTAACATGCAAACTCCACCAATAAAGGGCCCTGGCCGCAGTGACCGAGATTCAATATGGCAACCTTCTTGCTGAAAGGCAGCAGCTCTACAAACTGTGCCACTGTGCACAGTCCATAAGTCATACTGTAAGTCCACAGTGCCTAACTGGACAATTTAGTTTGTAATTTTTCTCACCTAAACTGAACAATGGTGCTTTCTTGTACCATTGCACTTCTTTTTGCCTTCTTTATAAATGCTTACAAAATAGTGTAGCAAAGTTAATTTGTGCGACCGCTTCTAGCTTGAGTTTGACAGAAATCTCAGCGATTCAAATTTTGCCCCTGAATTACAGTAAGTGAAGAACGAGATACTAAGCAATGCAGCAGGTACAGAAAAGTACCGCATGTGTAAAAAGCTGATGAGATTAGTTGGCAGCAGGCCAAACTGGTGCTGATTTTCCTACTCATACAGTTGTTTTTAATTTTTAATTTTATTTTAGTCTAATTACATTTGTTTATTAATTTTCTAGCATAAGTGTATCTCCATCTACGTTAGTCAGGCTGGTGTCCAGATCGGCAATGCCTGCTTGCAACTCTACAGCCTGGAGCATGGAATCCAGCTGGATGATCAGAAGCCAAGTGACTAGACCACTGGAGAAGGAGATGAATCCTTTAACACTTTCTTCAATGAGACTGGTGCTGGAAAGCATGTCCCTAAAGCTGTGTTGGTGACATAGAGCCCACAGTCATTGGTAAGTGCCATGGCTTCTGACAGAGCATTAGACACATTAAATGAGTCAATATTTATTTTCATTTCTTTATTTTTTAGATGAGGTGTGCACTGGGACCTACCACCAGCTGTTCCACCCTGAGCAGCTCATCAGTGGCAAAGAGGATGCTGCCAAAAACTGTTCCTGAGGACACTACACTATTGAAGAGACTATTGATCTGGTTTTAGACTGGATTAGCAAACTGCTGAGTAAATTGATTACATTTAATGTTAGAATCCGTATGGATAAAACTGTGTTTAAATGTCCCCTTCTGATCCTTAGGCTTTCAGGGCTTTCTGGTTTTCCACAGTTTTGGTGGAGGCACAGGTTCTGGTTTCACCTTCCTGCTGATGGAACAATTGTTTGTTGACTATGGCAAGAAATCAAAGCTGGAGTTCTCCATCTACCCAGCTCATCAGGAGTGTACTGTGGTGGTAGAGCCCTACAACTCCATCCTGACCACTCACACTACCTGGGAGCATTCTGACTGTGCTGTCATGGTGGACCATGAAGCCAGTTATGATACATGCTTTAGGAACCTGGATATTGACTGTTCCATTTACACCAATTTGAACAGGCTAAGTAATGTGTCCTCCATCACTGCTTATCTTAGTTATGATGGCACATTGAATGTGGAACTGACTGATTTTCAGACCAACCTGGTTCCTTATCAACACATCAACTTCCCTCTGGCCTCTTACACTTCTGTCATCTCAGCTGACAAGATTAACCGCAAGCAGCTCACCCAGGCTGAGATCACAAACGCCTGCTTCGAGCCGGCCAATCAGATGGTGAAATGTGACTAGGGCTTAATTTGTAAACCGATCGATCCTGGAAAGCAAATAGTGGGCCGGGCAGAGGTCTGTGGGTCCCTCCCTGTCCCCACAGAAAATTTTGAATAAAGTAGATGTAATTTCCTGCATTTTGGTGTATTTTAACAAGTTGTTAAACATCTACGTTTACCTACATTTGTAAACGCTTGATTCAATTACTATTAGAGCGCAACAACAATGGCTCTCTCTTTGTGTGTGAATAGATCAGCTGTGCTTCTGTCAAGCATCCTACCCCCAACCCACCCACCCACACACACTTCATGGTTTCGAGCCAGACTCTTCTCAGCTGAATTCAGTCCTGCATGTTGTTGCCCCTGCTCCAATCTCGATTGCAACTGCCTTCAGGTGCTTCAATTCTCGGTTGTCCAATTAAGGACAATCCATTATTTTATGAAAGTAAATTGGACAGTCTTTTCAACATTTTTATTGCTGTTATTTTGACAAATAAGCGTTGTTGTTTTGATACGTGATGTAATGTGAATAATACACATCAAACATGTCACTCATTGTATTTTTAATAAATAATCTAAATTTTATTAATAACCCACTTAAACTGTCAAACTGATTTGCAATTTAGTTCCATCCATCCATTATCTTTTACCCACTTCTTCCATTTTGGGTCACGGGGGTCGCCGGTGCAAGGAGTGGGGGACACCCTGGACAGGTCCCAAGTCCATTGCAGGGCCACATAGAGACAAATGAGACAAACAACCATTCACTCTCTCATTCACACCTAAGGACAAATAAGAGTTACCAATCAGCCTAACATGGATATTTTTGGTCTGTGGGAGGAAACCGGAGTACCCGGTGTAGTGAGTCACGTGAGGTACGTGTCACTTGTTGTATGACAAATATATGGATATATATTTATGCATACTTTTCACGAGTTCTTCATCTTTCTGACTGTGTAATGCCGTGCATTGAATTTAAAGGAATGCGAACAAGAGACGTTATTACCTTTGACCCATCAAATGAATGGAATCATTTATTTTCAGAATCAAAGTTTAACATCAAACATTTACATTAATTTGGCAAAATATGAAAATAATAACAGACAGTTTCACAAATAATGAACTTCAAATCACTCGGCGGTGATTTGAGGACTTTGCTTCAGATATTTCTAAAAATATCTGCACTGATTTACGAGAGAGAGGTGAGTTTAAGAGTAAATTGAGATTTATCTTACAGAGGAAATATGTGAGGGAAATTTAATCTGTTTAACCAGAAATTGCACGCTCCGTCCGATCTCAGCTTCTCACGGTACACTTGGTCAAAATAGAACCATCTACCTGTTGATGATGAATCAGCGTCGGAGTAGTTCCTTTCTGACTCGTTTCAGCGTCTCCGTCGAGAACTACCAAACCTTCAGAGAGTCGTGCGTAGTTAGCTCAAAACAGAATTATAATCCCAAAAACCTCTGGATTCTTCATTGCTCTCTTGGACTCTTCATTGCTCTGAAACTTTCAGAACCGGCTGCACTCTCAATCTAACATGAACTGGGAAGTTGCCACATTTTATTTGGGTCGACTTCCTGTTCAATTTAGAGCTTTCTGATTCGTGGAAGGACCAGAAAGAGGAGTGGTTTTGACGTAAGGTGTTTATCAACGGTCGAGGTCAGAGAATGAAATTTGTTTTCACATACAGAAAAGATTATTGCAGCAACAGCAGACTTCGTGGAGTCAACTCTTGGTAATCTTCTGAAAAAGTTTAAACATGACATCTTTCTCGGTAAACATTTTAGTTGACCGAAAACCAACCTTTCACATACTTACGACAGCTTGCTCATTTCAGACAGAAAATCAAGAAATGCATATTCAGGTGATTTCTTCTTGGAATGAGGAATAAAAATCATTACTTACTGTTTATGTAAAATAAAAATGAGTAGTTCTTTTCAACCTGTAAAGCATTGAGTGAACTAACACAATTTGATTATCAAAACATTTGTAAGACAGTAATGATTATAGAGGATTGTCTTTTCTGCTTGATTAATTCAAGAAAGAAAGTTCATCAGATGGCTCAGACTTATTCAAATCAATGAAAATAACAGTCTCTGTCCATCTGGTAGATTTGAGGTCATCAGGGTCAGATGGGGGTCAGATCATCAGGCCATCTAGTTCACTACACCGGAGAAAACCCACGCATCCACAGAGAGAACATGCAAACTCCACCCAGAAAGGCCCCCAGACTGAGATTTGAACCACAGACCTGCTCGCTGAGAGGCAGCAGCTCTACCATTTGTGCCACCGTGCTGCCCTGCAATTTAGCTGAACTGTTAAATTATATTTTTGAGTTTTGTAATAAAAATGCACAATGACTTTGGACTTTTAGGGGTGGAGATTTGAGTTACCGGATCCAAGCAAACAGTTGCCGGAATGCACCCTGTCAAAATAAGAAAGTTCCCAGATCTTGTTCCAGCCAGATCCGGTTCAAATTAGGCACTGAATGTGATCCTCGCCATGGTAAGTACATGGTCTGCTGCTATCTGCTGTACCATGGTGACGAGGTGCCCAAATGTCAATGCTGCCATTGCCAGCATCAAAACCAAGCACACCATCTAGTTTGTGGAATAGTGCCCCACAGGTTTCAAGGTGGGCCTCAACTACCAGCTGCCCACCGTGGTCCCTGGTGGAGAGACCTGGCCAAGGTCTGTGCGCATGCTGAGCAACACCACTGCCATCGCAGAGGCTTGGGTTCGACGCAACCACAGGTTTGATCTGATGTACGTCAAGTGGGCATTTGTCCACGGGTATGTAGGAGAGGGAATGGAAGAGGGGGAGTTCTCAGAGGCCAAGGAGGATATGGCAGCAATGGAGAGGGACTATACAAGGAACAGATTCTATTGACAGTGAAGGTGAGGATGAAGGCGTATTAAAAATGAAGAAGTCCTAAACAAATGTTTTATAAACTTCCTAAACTGATTTAGATGCATTTTGTGAGTTTGGCTTTATAACACTTGATCTTGGGGCAATTCCCACCCCCTTTCTTAATTTCTCTTCCCAAGATTTCCAAATTTCATTGCCCCAAAGTCACCTTTTGAACAATTTTTTTCTTCTTTCAGCTGCTCCCTTCTTCAGGGGTCGCCAAAGCCAACTAACTTGCATGAAGACTTCGCAATTGATTTTACGTCGAATGCCCTTCCTGATGCAACCACAAACCACCGAGCTACCACAGCCCTCTGTGTGGAGCAGAGAGCTGCTATCTAGGATGCCCAGGGGAGCAGATGGTGGGGGTTAAGGGCCTTGCTCAAGGGCCCAGAGTGGGGCAAATGAGGGTGGAGGCATGTGTGGGTTTTTCACCTTTCCCATCCACATTTTGATGTTGTTGGTACAGGGAGTTTAACCGGTGACCTTCCAATCACAGGTCCACCTTCTCTAACCCCTGCACCACCACTCCCCTTCACCTTTTGAACAATGTATTTATTTATTTATTTATTTTGGTTTAAATGTTTTTGATCTGTTTCTGAATCTTTGATGTTTAGTTTGCCTTTAAAACACTGACTTTCTGGCAACTGTTTAACAAACACACATTAAAGGATTGTCTTTTTTTTTTATTGTTTGAAAATAAATTGAATTGCTGCATGGCTGATGCGTGGTCTTTTATTTATATATAGATATATACAAATTTAGAGATATGGATACTGTATACCTCAGTCACCCAGGACGTGGTTAATCCAAAATAAAAATATTAAAGTTCATGCTCATGTCCAGGTAATAAATCTAACAAAGTTAAGTCAGGTCCTCTGGACAGTTTCTTTATGTTGAAACGTTTCATCGTTCATCTATAGAGACTTCTTCAGTTCGAGGAGCCACAACAAACTAGTCTTTTAAGCAACACTCACATAGTGGGCCAACCAGTTTGTTGGTGATAAGCTGGTTTCTGGAGTCCACCCTCTTCCCCGCCGACTCGTCTGAGGCAGCCATGGCCAAAATAAAAAGGTTAAAATGAAACCTTTTTCTATTCTTGAAGATGTTTTGCTCCCCATCCCTTTCTAAAGTGAAATAAGTCTATGCTCCCAAGACATTTTTTTTTGAGTCTTCCAGAAGGGAAGCAACACTTCATCTTCAAATGGGAAGTTAGTTATGTAAACTTTTTTCTTTTTTGATTTATCTAAATCCATCTCGCAACTCTTTCTGTAAAGTAAATGCATTTTCTCATTTTCAGTACTGGATCTATCCTGATGCATGCTCAGGATGCAGGATGTACTGGATCTAGTTTTCAACTGAAATTTATAACCACATGTTGTAGTTGAAATACTTTAAACTTTTCGTTTTATGTCTAAACAGGTCTGTGTGTGAGATTAACTTTCATAATCCCCCAGATTTAATGCGTTTAAACAAGATGGATCACTGTAGGACAATTCTAAAATTAAGTGTTGTGGGTAAATTGTCAAACTATAAATCAAAGATTCCCAAACCTCATTCAACCTAACGGCAGAGACTTGGATTCTGATTGAAGTAAACAGTCCTTAAAACTAAGGAGCTTAAAGCCAACACAACTAGCCTAAAAAACTACGGTACTTTTTCAGTTTGACGTCAGACATCTTTTTTTGCTTTTGATGACAAAATGAGAATTTTTGTCTTTTCTCAGATATGTTTTAGATGGGTCCTTAAACTTAAACTTCTTCATCCTCCAGTGTCTTCCTCTCCTCCTCAAGTTCAGGCCAATCATCCACAGAAGCATCAGACTCCTGAGCAGAACATGAACACAAGTTTGTTTTGAATTAAGTAGATAAAATAATACATTAATCTGCTCTCACCTGATAAAAGTCACCATCTGTGGGTGCTGTCAGCTCATTGTGGTCCTCGCTACTTATCGAAATCTTCAGGAGAAAAAAAATACAGTTGAAGGTTATTTAAGTTGCGACTATAAAATCAAGTGAAATTATTTGAGGCTCCTGTGAAAATATGAAATCTTACCTCCTCGTCTCCATCTAAAGGAACTGCTGTGTTCATCTCCACATTCAGCCTGAGAGGAAAATCAGCTATTAGGGCAGGTTGATCTGACTGTAGAGCTGAACATAATTTTAAACGTATTTGACTAATTTGACTGATTTAACTTATTTAGCTGATTTAAAGATCAGTGCCTTTTTAAAACTTTGATCTGAACATTTAATCACCTATTCCCCCAAACATATCAATCATATTTTGAGGAGAGTGAGTTTAGCTCCTTTTGGTATAGATTTGGGCTGTGTCTTTGCTTCAGAACTATAGTAAATAAATACGTTATCTGTGAATCACCAATTTATTGTGGTGGTGTTTGTGTGGCTGAATGATCCTAAGGGCCATGTTGTCGATGGCAGTTGCCCCTGGTAAGGTTTCCCTTGGCAGTTTGGTCCTAAGTGACAGGCCAGACAAAGGGATTCAGAAGACCTTTATGGACAAAGGGCAACAAGAAGCTTGATGTCTCTCATCCAAATGTGGGTAACTGGGCCTTGGGGAGGAGCTCAGCAAGCACCCGATAAATGGACTCTTACCCATGTCATCTGATCTGTGGCCGTATGTTTTAGACAATTGGGTGAAGAGAGGAGAACTATCAACTGATCACCATTTGGTGTTGAATTAGGTCAGAAGGTGGGGGAAGATGCTGGTCAGACCACCAACATTTAGTGAGGGTTTTCTGAGAATGCTTGGCAGAAGAACCCATCGGAAGGATCTTCAACTCCCACCTAAGAGAATGCTTCAACTGCATTGTTGTGAAGGCAGGAGACACAGTCCGAGTGGGCCATGTTTTATGCCTCCATTGTTGAGGCGGTTGTTTGGAGCTGTGGCGGCAAGGTTGTCAGTGCCTTTCTTGGTGGCCATCCTTGAACCCGTGGTGAAAGAGGCCATCAAGCTGAAGGAGGAGTCCTATTAGGTCTTGTTCGCTGGTCAGGTTTCAAAGGCAGCTAAGGGTTATTGATGCACCTGCAACCCTGGCTGTTGCTGAGGCAAAGGCTCGGATGTGGGAGGAGCTCTGTGTGGCCTTGAATGGAGACTCTTATTCAGCTAACCATCAGGCAACAGGGCAGGGAAAGCAGCACTTTACCAACACTGTGTGTAGTGGAGGTGAAGTGTTGATGACCTCTCATCAGAACGTGGAAAGAATACTTCAAGGACTTTCTCAGTTCCATCAGCATGTTTTCCATTAAGGAAGATAAGTCAGGGAACTTGGGTGTTGGTCCGTCCATAACCAGGGCTAAGGTTGCCATAGTATTTAATAAGCTCCCTGGCAGCAGTAGACCCCGTCGGACCCTATGAATGCCTAGAACAAACAGGAGAGACTCAGCTGGCCTGGGAATGCCTTGTAAACCTCCCAGAAGAGCCTGAAGAGATGGCTGTGGGAAAAAATGCATGGGTCTCCCATCGACCAGTAAAAGATGATTGATGGATGGATAGATGGATAAATTAAAGAAAAGTTTAAAAATATAATTTACCTTTTAATTAACCAATTCAAAGGCACACTGAATTAGTTCTAGTAGAGCAATAAATCCCACCACCAAGACACAATGTCTGTTTTTTCCATTTTTTTAAAAATCACAAGTAGAATTTAGCAATGTTTTTTTCCCCATCTCACTGATCAGGATTTGAATTAACTTTGTGATTGTGTAGTTAATCCGTGTGACCTCAAACAAGAATTCAGATCCAGATTTAATAAATTTAACATAAAAGCAGCTGTGTTGATATAAAAAAAACATGATGATACTACAATTTCTTAAAATAGTGCATATTGCCTATCACCATGCACATTAAAGTTTTAAACAAAGGTCTTGAAGTTTATGTTGGGGATGACTCAGATACTACCACACCAAATTTTAGCAAATTTTTTGTCTAAATTACTAAGTTGAGACATTTTTATGTTTGTTGAGGTCAGTTAGTTGTACTGTAACTAAACTTTCATCACTGTGATTTTATCGTTAGATAAATCCCTTATACAAAAAGATGATGTCACATTGTTTTTTTCATAAGAATAAGTAAAACATCTGGGAAACTGTGATTATCAATTAGTAACTTACAAATATTTCTCTCCACTTTGTTTCTTTCCTACAAAACAAGAGCAACAAATATATAAATATATATATATATTTTTTTCAAGAACATAAAAGAAGATGCAACATGAGGTAAAAGCTTTGTGAACTCACTGAACATCGCTCCAAATAGGCAACAAAATGACACCAGGAGAATCAGGAATGTAAAACATCCAAAGACAACTGCCACCACCAAGATGGGAAGGTGGTTCAGCACTAGATAAAAGAACAAACATTATAATAACAAGCAGCATGTCGATGTCCCCCGTTGCTGAGGTTTTAGAATAGCAAATGTCTCTAGTTTTCTAGATGAGTGTTTTTCTGGACTGGACTAGAACAGGGAATGCAAGTAAACATAAAGGACTTTGGGGCAAGAGATATCTAAGTACTGGCAGCATGCCTGCTCTTTGGTTAGCACTGTTGCCTCACAGCAAGAAGGTCCTGGGGTCAATCCCCGGTTGGACCTGAGGTCTTTCTGTGTGGAGTTTGCATGTTCTTCTTGTGCTTGCGTGGGTTTTCTCCAGGTACTCTAGTTTCCTCCCACAGACCAAAAACATGCATGTTAGGCTGCATTCAGGCCCAGGCTTCCCTTGCAAAAGAGATCTGTGATCTCAATGGGATTTGCCTGGTTAAATAAAGTTTAATAAATAATAAACAAATACATATGTAGGAGCTACATTGTGTATAAGAATAGAGGTAGTATTTTTTCTGCTTGTCTGAGGCAGTGCAGAGTGATGGGTCTTGGAGGGACAGAGGAAACCATTTTATCCACCACTAGACACAATGACAGAGCTGGGGTTGGCCAATGGATTAATGGATGAATCTTCAACCATCCCAATCATTTGAGGAAACTATGCTTTTAGGCAATATAAAGATTAGAAAACATAGTTTTCTCAAATGTTTGGGGTGGCCAGTTTACATATACATGTATCACTGGTGCTCATATGCAGCAGTCACTGTGCAAGAGGCAGGGTACATCTTGGACAGGTCTCCTGTCCATCACAGGGCCACATAGAGACAAACAAGACAAACAACCATTCACTCTCTCACTCACACCTAGGGACAATTAGAATTACCAATCAGCCTAACATGTATGTTTTTGGTCTGTGGGAGGAAATGGAAGTACAAGGTGAAAACTGACATGTGCATGGAGAGAACATACAAACTCCACCCAGTAAGGTCCCCGGCTGCGATTCGACTGTACCAACTGTGCCACCATATATATATATATATATATATATATATATATATACATGGTGGTGGCCATCTTGGATTTTGACGCAACAACACAATTTTTGATAGTGACCTTTACGCCTTGATGCCACCACACACCAAAATGGAAATCACTTATTTTTAAGTAAGCCAGCTCACAAGACGGACGGTACTTCCAATTCCCCTCTTTGTTCTTGGATTGGATTGACTTCAAATTTGATTATTTTTTAGATTTTTATTAGAAATTTTCATCAATATTCTTCTAGTGGCTTATGAGTTATTTTATTGATATATGAATTAGCATAAATATAATTGTCTGCATTCACCTTTTGACAGCAGGTGATAAAAACAGCATTTATATCATACAGTGTAAGGATCTTCTGATCTAATGACCAGCAGCATCAGATCACATACCTTCTTTATTCAAATAGCGCCTCTTACTGCTTACAGCAGTGGTGTTGTCAAAGCTGTCTGAAACCTCACAGTGGTATGTCCCGGTGCTGCTCCTTCCCACAGACAGCAAGAGAATGGATTCTGCTGGCAGCCGGTCAAACACATAGTAAAAACTTCCTTGGGTGTTTAGAAGTGTTTCATTGAGAAACCACTGGAAACGTGGATGAGATCCTTTTGCTGCCTTACAGTAAAACCTCAGGCCAATGACAGCATAGTTCTCTGCCATGTCGTACTTGGAATCAATGGTCACAGGTCCATCAACTGGTACTGGAGGACATATATTAGATTAAAACAATGAAGGAAATTAGATGGAAACAGCCAAACAGTTTTGACTTTAACCTGATTAAAATGTACAGCAGAAGGTTTACATTTTGGTAATTGTTTAACAAGCAGCAAAGCCAACAGCATTAAGCACAATCATTGTCCTTTTGCTTCAAAACAGAAGTACAGTTTCAAAATTCTACAGTGCAAAAGTGCACTAGTATTAGACAAAATCAATATACAGTGCAGTGTTGATAGGTTTACAGACCAACTTTTAAGGGCAATAATTGACTGTATGCAGTCTGGTCCCCGTTGTTCGCATGGCACTGGAGCGATCCATGGTCCTGGTCCATGACAACTGGAACCTTAAAAGTTGCATGTCTCTCTTGAGTTGTCACATTGCTGACCAGTTCTGTGTTGTTGTACAGTGAAAATGTTATAGGCAGAGCTCCTCTTTCTGACTGACAGGTGATAATAGCAGAATAATTTTGGTAATCCTCCTTTAACACGGTGAACACAATGTCAGGCTTTGACACCAAGTCTGAGGGAACAGAAAGTTGGTAGATGTTACTCTGGTGAGACGTTTTTGAAAAGGAATTATCTATGAAAATGTAACTACACTTGGTACTGACCTTTCACTGTGATAACTACTTCAGAGCTGTTGGAGATGAAGATCTTTGTTTCATTGATGGTGTTGGTAGCCACGCACCTATAGGAGCCGCTGTCTTCAGAGGTGGCTCTGAGGGACACGTTGTTATTCAGTAACTTCCTCATTATTGCTGACTTCTTTTTTCTTGGACATATGTTGAAAGAGTTGTGCAACACAGAAGCTAAGCAATAAGAGCATTTTATGTACTTTTTCCTGTGATATACTTTACATTTTTGTTAACAGTGACTTGTCTTTTGATTGAGCAATTTTTACTTCTAAATGATGAAACAGACATAAAAACAAATGCTCATCATCATTTTTTTTTTTAAATGTCAAAACATTTATTGAGGTTATTCTTCCCATTCATCCACTTCTGCATTTTTGGCTCTAACAACAGGAAGCACATTTTTATTTCTGCTTTTTGCAGATGTGGTTATGGTGGTGTCTTCAGATCATGCACTGGAGCGGTTTGCAGCTGAATGTGAAGCAGCTAGGACGACAACCAGCACCTTTAGTCCTGAGGCCAAGGTTCTTAACTGGAAAATGGTGGAATCCCTCTCCAGGTTGGGAATGAGTTGCTACCTTACACGGAGGAGTATAATAAGTGTCTTGTTCATCAGTGATGGCAGGATGCAGCAAGAGATAGACTGGAGTTTAATCTGTGGTAATCAGGACATTGCTCCAATTTGTTATGGGAAAGAAGGAGCCTAAAGGTCGATTTCCTGGTCCATCCGCAGTCCAACGTTCATCTATAGTCATGAGATTTGACTCACTAGCAAAAGAACAAGATTCTGAATAAAACCAGCTTCCTCTGTGATGTGGTTGGGCTCAGCTTTAGAGATAATTTGAGGAATTCTGTCAGTCAGGTGGAGCTCGGAGTAGAGCTGCTGCTCCTCCTCATCAAAAGGAGTCATCTGAAGTGGATCAAGTATCTGATCAGGATTCCTCCTGTGCACCTTATTTTGAGGCACATCCTTCAGTAGACCAGGGAAGACAAACAACCCGTGGGAGAGATTATATATCCTTTTTCGTAGGGAATTCTGAGGTATTCCCGTTCTGACCTAGAAATGCTCCCCAGGTTGAGCTAGAAATATGGACATCTGGGCTTCTCTCCTTCCTTCCAATTATTTTTAACAGCTTATCCAAGGTCTAATAAGAGGTTAAGGATGGATGGATGGAACTAACTTGGATTCTTGTCACTTTTACATTAATTACAGTTTTGTTTATACATACCAATGAATATAGAGATTAAAGTTGCAGTTCAGTGTAATGTTTGTCATCAGTGTGAAGCTCTACATTAAGTGAGGTATAACACCAAAGTCCCAGTCAGAGGCAAAGTTTTTCTCAGAGAAACATTTACATGACAACATTTAATTTACTAAAACAAAATAGTAATTTCATAATTCCAACATATATAAACTTATCACCAAACAGCAGTGCATTATCTTGAAAAACAACCAAAATAATGTACACGTAGTGTAATACAGTGGTAAATGACTTTCTGTAGTTTTTGCACTGACCTGTAGATTATTAGATTGTTTCCTATAATGTGGTGGAAAGGAGATGGTGAGATGATGCGTTCATTAAGCAGCCACTTGTAGGACAAATGATTTCCAGCTGTAACGTTACATTGCAGCTCCACGTTATTTCCCTCAAAGAGCTCCTTTGGACCAGGGTGGAAAATCTTTGCTCCTTGTACTGGTTCTACAAAAACAAGTTAACAAAAACTGTTAAAAAATATTAAATGCTGTCAGAAATGCCACAGTCTGTGAGAATAATCATTCATAGGGTTTGCTTTAGGTTTTTAGTTTTCTAAATAGGGATTGTTCTCCAAGTTGCGTCAGGTTACGTCGTCATTTCCCTCAACTTTTTCTGTCTATGTCTGTCTATTAGCAAAATACCAACCCATTTCAATATGGCCTCCTCAGACAGCTCACCTTAGAATACAAAAAAATGGCTATAATTTGCTAAATTTTTTTAGATATTGGCTTGAATTTGGCTGAGAGTCAATCACAACATATGCCCCAAGTGCAAAACATATTAACAGTTGGATCAACCTTGTTTGTCTGTCAGCAAAATATTCCACAAACCACTTGAGAAACTGTAATGAAACTTGCAGACTGTTATCGATGTATGAACATCTACAACTGATTTACTTTTCGAGTCAATCCAGATGGCTGCCACAGCTCATCAAAATTAGTCAACACAAATATGACTGTAACGCAGTCAATTTTACAGATGTTGCGCTAAAGTTTGGTGTGGTAGTAGCTGAGACTGATCCTCAACATATCATCAAAGTGCTTTTGCATGAGATAGCATGTAACATTTTTCAAGGTTTGACCAAAATAGTTGCAACATTTCTTAACACAAGGTGATCTCAGTCTAAAACTCTGGCCTTAAAGGCAGCAGGTGATATGCATTCCCTCAAGGAAATGTCTGATATGTTTTTGTTGTTGTATTTGGACTCACCGATGACCCTCAGGTAGTGTGTTTGGCTGACAGTGGCATTTATTTCAGTGTTGTTTTGCATGCTGGCCACACACTCAAAGTACCCCTCATATGAAACTCTGATAACTTTGGGAAAAACTCCAGTCGTTTCTCCAGCTGGGAGGCTGTATTCACCAAACACGTCTTTACGGTTGCCCACCCTGGAAACGGTTGAGAATAAAAACAAGTCATTAGTAGTTTTATTTAAATTTTAATTTAATTCTTGTTTTATTTTGACACAGTGTGTAAACTGAATGCACTTACTTGAATAGTTTCAGCAGGATCGATTGATTATGTTGGTTTGGAATTTCACACTGAAAGTCGACGACTTCTTTCACCAAAACCTCAGAGCGCATGTTAAGTTGTGGACGGTCCAGAAAAAACTCACCTGAATAAAAAAATAATATATATATAGTTGCACATTCACTTATCCTCAAAAAATATATAATCTACTGTATTAAACAACAAAATAGACTTACTGTTTGATTTGGTGCAGCAGCACATGCCTGCAGGAATAAAAAAACAAAACAATATTATTGAATGTGTAAGTCTAAACTATATATA